GCAATCAAGATCATTATCTAAAACAAGGAAGTAGCTGTCAGGTCCTCATTTTCCCCCCCTTTCCTAAACAGGTTTTAGTTTTCTTATACCAAAATATTGCCTGGAAACATGACCAACTTTTGAGTGCTTTGTGTCTTATTAGGGATAAGAATACTGACCAAAGAGAAGGGAATAAAGCAATAAAATATTTAGCCAACTTATGAGCTTTGCATGACTCAACTTCATTGGCACTGTCCCTGAGTTTTCCTCACTTGAAGGATTAATTGTATTCACTTTTTCTCCCTTCAGTTACTTAATATAAATGGAAGAGGAATAAAATAATTTGAATTAAAATGTTATTCCAACAACCTTTGAACTGAAGGGGTGGAAAGACAAAGTCCCATTTTCTTTCACGTGCTTGAATCAGAGTTGCTGTTGAGGCCCACAGATATTGGCAAACTTGCATATTGTGGTTTTATTCCTTCAACTCCACACACACATTCTGGACACCCTTGTCCAGTATTTTGTATGTGTAAATCCAGAGATATGGCACGAGTGTTGAAGTACCAGTAGAGCCTGGTGTGAGAGACCAGAGCAGTAAAGATGTGCTAAGTCAAGGCAATATCTTATACCAGCAGCTAAATTTGCCCAGTCTCACCTTCCTATCACACTCATTTGACATTTGGTAGTAAAACAGCAGGAAGAAAAATCAAATGCCTCCTACTGCTGACAGGGATGATGTCGTGGCTGTGGCCCATAAAAGATTTAAACCAACTACCTTTTGGAAGGAAGCACCACATATCTGGTGTTACCCTAGGAAATCCCAGGTAAACCATAAGGCTCCCAAGTGCTACATACTTGAAGCACTTGAGGAATGGGATGCCATCTTTTCTTCCAACAGATTTCTGAAGCAGCTTGTATTTGAAGAGCAGATGTCTATTTTCCCTCACTTTCAGACCTGCAATTTTGATTCCTGTTACACAGCTGCCACTTTGAATTCATTTCTTGTACCTGACAGAGCTACTCTGAGGTCAGTGATATATTGACTGTGGTTCTGCCAACTCTTCCAGCAGCAAACCAGGAACTTGCCATGCCTTGTTCCTGTCATGAGAAGCTAAAAGGAGGGAAACTTGAAATGGGCTGCAGTTGATATTGATTTTCAGCATCAAGCTGAGAGGACACAAGACCACTTTCTCACCAATTCACTAGAGGCAGAGTGTGTAAAACATGCTCTAAAAAAATGCAGATGCAAGGAGAAATAGTTATCAATTGATCCTTGATAAGTTTAGGCTGGAAATTAGGAAATATGAAATTATTCAATACATGAAAATTTTTATTAAGCTTTCACAAAGTTTCATCGGAGTTCAGAGAAAAAAAAGCAGACAGCCAGTTCAGGTACAGGTAAAAATATAATAATCTTCTAATAAAAGTATTCTGAGGGTCTTCCACAGAGTTTAGCACTGTTCTCAATCCCTTAGTTACTAAATGGAATAGTGGTAAGGGTAGTTTATAAAGTTGATCATTACGTGACTTAATATATATAATAGAAAATAATTTTGCATTAAGAAATTGTATTCTGGTGAGTAATTAAGATATAAATAGCGCATTTCTCAATGAGCATTCCGTTTCCATTTCGAAAGCGCCCGGAGCCCCCCGCACGGTAAGGAAGGAGGGTAAGGAAGCTTTGCCTCTGTCCGCGCTGCTGGTGCGCCGCCTTGTGGGCACTCCCTGCAAGTGCACCCGCAGCGGCTCCACGGCTCTGCACTGAACAGCCAGGGCGCAAAGGGAAAACACCAATTCCACCCATTTCTTGTCTTCGTGAGAACAAAACGGCACTTCCAATTTTTACGTTGAAGGTGGGAGTCCCGCCGTGATCTTAAATCAACTTTCACATCTGTGATTGCACCTGCAATGTCCAGCTTTCAGCACAATTACATGAAAGCTCATGCTCACCTCACTGTTTGTTCTCCTTAGGACATGAAAGCCAGATCATGTACTTGGTCAAAATGAACTGCTGCACATTTTGACACAAAGTCTCTGCTACGTCTCCTCCGCAAACCAAAGAGCCTGCAAACACAACTTGAGAACGAAAGCCCTCCTTTAGTTTAGCAGGACTGACCCAGGACTTGCCCACGGTGATCCTACCTTGGCCTTTTCTGTGACTCTGAATAGCTGTGATGCCTACACACAAATTACACGCTTCTTTTTCTTCTTTTACAAGACTAAATACCCAAGAATAGAAATCACATAATTTGCACCCTGCATCACCAACAAAAATAATGACATCACTAGATCTCAATAAATTTCTTTTCAAATAAATATTAAATGAGAGGAACCTGGATTGTCTGTGGTCTCCCATTTCTCCATCAATACACCTGCTCAACTGTAACATGACATGTCCTAGCAAAGGGACAAGGCACTTGGCAGCTGATTGTCTGCTAGAACCTGACTGCTTTCACAAATTAAGTGATAGCAGCTGCCCCATATTTGCTTCTTAGCCTCCTCTTCTATTATTTCAGATTATCAGTTACTTACCAAATACAAAATATTCTCAGTTCTGCTTTCTGGAGCTCAACTCAAATCTTCTACAGGCAATTAAATAGCCATGGAAAACACGTAAGAAGTGCAACCAAAGAAGACTCACTTAGAAATAGTTGATTTCTTTGTTAGTAACATAGTCCTACAAGAGTATTAGATACTTACTCTGACAAGAATAATTTGCAGACTTTAATTATCTATTTCAGTAGGGTTTGGCTCAATAGCTGTAGAACACTGACATCTTCAGGTGGAAGAGCTACTGAAGTACATAAATAATAGGACACGTTGAATATAAACCATTCAAATATGAAATAATTCTTGAAACAGGTTTCCCTTCCAAGATCTACTAATTTGGCTCTTTTCTCTTTGAAAGAGTTACATGGCTCCAGAGACAGTTCCATCACATTAGCATAGACATGAAAATACCTGCAGCCTTTCCAATATGTGATTTAAGTAATGCTTGAAAAATGTCAAAAGATATGAGGGTTCCTCACAAAATATCCTATTAAGTTTCAATGAAACCTACAGTTCTTTGAGACATTTTCCCAAGGATTTCATTATTATGGGAAAGCCAACAATTTCTAATCAATTTATAGTCTTGGTACAAGGGAGCAAAACACAGCTTCCTTTTAGTTTCTTCATTTGTTTCTAGCAGCCCTTTTGCATCACATGGACTCTCAATATCTGGATTAATTTGACTCAAGGCAAATAATTAAGCTAATTCTGAACTTACAATCATGACAAAAATTACTGAAATTTTGTGGTCCTGTTGATAACTTCACTATATCCATGGAACAGCTAATCTACTTTTGGCACTACTCAGCACACAGATATGACATTTTGAGCAGATGTTAGTAAAGAAAAATGATTTTTCCTAAAAAGGACTTTTGCTGATTTTTATTCTGGAGTTGAAGGCTATAATTTTATTGGATACTATATGATGGTTCTCAGATGTTGCAGTAACAGGTGATTCAAGCAATGTTAATCTATTTGAGAAATTAACTTACCATGCCAAAGATTTATGAAGTCCTTGTAATTTTAAACATTTTACTATTTAATCTGTTTCTCTCCAAGTCAAAGTTAGAGCACAAACAATTTTTATTAAAAAATTCATCGAGCAAGTGCTCATTTCTCTGAATAAAACCACCCCAACCCAAACACAGGAACATAAGGACAAAGATATTGCAACTACCTGGTTAAGAAAAAACTGTTAGTGAGGAACTCAAACACTCTCCCTGTCTGCAATCAGTTCAGCTGAAATTATATCTTTACTCATCATGAATGAGACAAAAGGAATAAAATGGCAGAAAAAATATTTTTAAAAAGCAATAAAAAGCACATGCATGTAACCAGTGCCCCTACTGTAAAATGAAGGAGTAGAAATAAGCATGTTAAAGACCAAGAAGGAAATTCTATATAAGCATTGCTGATCCTCTGTGCAATGCAGCAGCTCCTACTCCTGGGCATTCTGCACAAATGAATCCTTCTTAAACCCCAAGGCTGCAACAGAGGCTGGCATGTTATTAAATGGCACATGCACTTAGGTGAGAATGGCTACTATGAGTTGCAACTTGACCAAAATCAGGTATTTACTGACAAGACAGTACATTTTAGTCATATGTGAAGATGGATTTCAAACACCAGTGCAGGTTGTCTAGCACCCAAACTCTTGGATAATCACTGTATCAAGGAAAATGATTACCTGTGTGCGCAGACATTTCCATAATTAGAAAATAAACTGAAAGATCCTGTAAACCCCTAAACTGTAAAAGTCAGGTTTTCACAAGAAGACTAAACTGATGTAAATACAAAGCCTTTGAGCACCTATCGATTTCTTGCAGGGATATTGCTGTGCATGCTGACCGAGTGCTGCAGGAACTCAGGACAGCAAGGAATGACCATTTACTGCTTTGGCTCTCTAGAGGTCCTCCACGAGCTGTAAATGCCTTATCCGCAGCTTCTGCAGGCTCCTGCTGCTGAGCGGCGTCAGGACCTGCAGCCTGGATTCTCTGAATAACCAAAACACCGCCCCTCTCTGCTTTAACCTAACAGCTGCTCACACTGCATTTAAATCAGTGGCAGCTCCAGGAATATGGTGGCAGTGACTGTCACAAGCATGTCCCAAACTAGCAGTTGTCACTGATACAGAGGAGTTAATTAAGCTTGAACAGTGAGAGGAGCTTTCTGGGCCTGCCATGCATCTTCATTTTTGGCAATGACAGCACAAAGCAGCCTCTGCTTGTGTCAGCCTGAAAGCACAGCCCGGAGCCAGGATGCCCATGGAAATGCCTGAATGCAGATTGTGGTGCTACCTTACAGCTACTGAGGGAGGAAAAAACCATGGTAAAATGGAAGTTTTACCGGATTAATTTCAGCAGGACTACTCGAGAGCACATGCAGGAAAGACAAGGGGTAAAGCGTGCATTGGGCAATTTTATTCTCCCTAAGACTGTAAAGCAGAATATGAGAAATACCTCCAAGAAATCATCAGGTAACTGCACTTATTTGGTTATCAGCAGATGACAAATCCCTTTTCTGCCACTAAAACGCAAGAACTAGAACAGTACCGTGGGCATGCTGCAGCAGCCATCTTTTCAACTTCCTTGGCTTTGTGGCAGACCTCTTTCCCTAAGTGGAAATGAATAATCATTATGAATGCAGCTCCATTAACTTATGTCTGCTGATTTAAAAAGGTCATATATCCAACAAGATGAGGAGAAAAAAATTAAATGTGGGAAAGCAAGGCTTTATGTATGTGGACATTCCTGAGCAGTGCTAATTTAAAGCAGCATTTTCCACTCCAATTCTCTGGAGTTCCAACCTCAAAGTTCTCTTCCTTCCTCACTGAAAGGCTTGCCTCTCTCACAGCTGCAGGGCAGGAGTCCCAGTGCACACCTTGGAGTGCCACTTCTGAACTGCCATCAGAGCTCCTGCTCAGCAGTACAGCCCTATGTCCCCAGGAGTAAGAATATGGGATCTCCTTCCTGCCATCTGCTTGAGAAACAGCAGCCTTGGAGGAGCAGTGAAGTCCTCCTTGGTCAGCTGGTGGCCTTTGCATCAGACCCTGCTTGGTGGGTGGTGGGACAGACCTTGCTGGGCCTGTGTTTGCCAACACTGCTGATAACTGCAGGCTTGGCACCAGGGTAGCCCAGCTGGATGGTGCTGCCAATTACCCTTATCCTCCATCTCACCTTCCCCACCTGCACTGCATCACCGCCAATTAGCTGGGAGGGACCTGAAGGCAGGCACCAACTCTCTCATGCACATGAACCTGCACACCAGGGACCATTTGTGGGTGTCACTGCAACACAAATGATAACCTTGGCTTCTGATTACTCTACAAAACACAGCCCCTGCTTAACAAAGGTTAATGAAATGCTGTTTACTCCATGTCAAAGCATGTTCATACAAAGAGTTTTTCTTTCTTTAAACAGATAACTATCAGATTCTCACAGCTTTTTACTTCCAAGGGATACACAACTAGTTAATGAAGGACTGAAAGTGATAAAATATTACTCAAATAATAGAAATTATTTCCTAATCTTGTTTCCTTTTCTACTCAATTCTAATATATCCTCCACTGCTACACTAGAAGATTCTAGTCATAAGAACAATTGCTACAAGACAGTTCAGTATAGCCCAAATGCCTTAATGAACATGCCCACAAGGACTCAATTCTGCATTGCATCCTTATTACAGCACTTCTCCAAGAGCCTTATTCCAGTTTACCTGTGTTAACAATGCTCCCCTCCCTGTTTGTGGACCCCCCTAAAGAACACCACCACGGTACAAAAAGAACTCCAGAAACAGAAGGCAGGATTGTTTTTTCATCATTTCATCATTCATTCAAGATTTCTTTCCCTTTTCTTTGCCATCTGGTTGACTTCCAGCTCGATCAGGAAAAGTAGCTGAGCTGTGTTTTTCTGAAGCTGTTCTATTGACAAGAGCACCAATGTATATTCAACTGAACCTCTAAGTATATAAATAAATAATAAAATAAATACACCAAGTGTTGACTGCAGCATGCCAAAGCACAGTAATTCAGATGATAATATTGATAGATTGAAAGATTAGACCCCATAGATGCAGAAGTGTGTGAAGGCCATGTTTTATATTGTCTTCAAGTTTTCTAATTGTCTGGCCCACACTGCCCTGAGCTGCAGTATTCTGTAACAACAGAGAATTGTGAGTTACTTCCCTCAATAAATACTGGGAAATCTCTTAACTGTCCAACATACTCAGTTGCTATCTAAAAGCAACTCTGACAAAGAATTCTGATCCAGTTTTCACTTGTGTTCTCTTGGGAGCTTCACTTGCACTCAGAGTTAACCTCGAGGACACGCCTCTCTTACCTAATCAGCGCACAAAGGAGCCAGAACCTCATTCTATATTCCTTTGAAGTTCATTATCCCTACTACTTCTAAGAACAAAACTTTAGTTTACTAGAAGTCTTTGTTATCCTGGAATATTTTGACTTGCTCAATTATTTCTGAATTACAGAATACCTAAAACATTCCAAGACACAAATGGTAAGACAAAACCAGTTCTCCTCACAAAGAGCCATTTTTTTCCCATAGCATGGGGGCGTTGAGTATTTGTGATGTTGACATTTGTGACTTGGTAAATACCAGAACGTATACTTTGTACCAGACAAGCCTACTCAGCAAGAACTCATACATACCTGACTGTTCACAGGGAGCTGTAAAAGGAGCCATCCCATGTCAGAACTGAAAACTGAAATCAGGGCAGGGCAGCTGAATCCAGATCTTCAGGAGTAACCTGAGTAATGGGGTTGTACAAGAGAGCTGTAAAAAATAATAGCAACAGAAAACAATTAGAAGTGATTTTCCATTAATTACAGATGAGGACTTGGATTTTACATATAGATTTTAATGCCAGAAAACAAAGTGCTCTGAAACATTGACTTACACATGTCACGCATTTAAACAGTTCTGATTAACTGACCAATCAAAACTTGTATTATTTAAAACCCTGTCCAGAAGTTACCTTAGGGAAAAGCCTAGTATCTTCAAAAATACAAATATTCCTTTTAGTCCAGAACTTATCCCATGCCTAAAAGAGTATAATTATACCCATTTTCCCAGATAATCTGGGAGATTGCATCTTCATGCATTAAAGGAACACAGATTTCTATATTTGTTTCTTCCCTGTGAAATCAGTAAGCAGAGAAAGCAATAAAGCTACTAAATTAACATAATTTTTGTTATAACTCCAAAAGTCACATCTGAGGAGTGCCTGTGCATTTGAGACAACACTCATCTGCTCTTGCATGTAAGGCAGAGTTGTACTTCAACCAAATCCACAGATGTCTGAGGTTTCTGTTCAAGCCTGTTCTTCAATACTGTGTAAACTGGCACACATTCAACAGTGCTACTGCAGATGAATATGATAGTCATACATTCCTCTTTCTGGAAATCCAGGAAAAGGTATTCAAAACAAGCACTTAAATAAATGAAAAGGAAAACACTAGATAAAACCAGTTTCCGCATGTTTTCAGGATTTTTCATTAACAGTTCAGGATCTAATCTGCCTTGGCCAGTGGTGGGTTCAGGAAGGTCTATTCCCTGACATACAGCTGCAGGCCAGAACCTTTCCTCATACATATAATGCTTTTGGGATGGTTTATCACCAATTTTACAACACTCACGTGGGATAGTGTTAGTACATTGGGTGCTTCTACCCTTGTCCCACCTGTACATAAATCAATCTTCACTCATGGGCAGACACAGCTGTCCCCATTCCTTCAGGCTGCTCCCTGACACAAGCTCTCCTGCTCTGACATCTGCAAACGCCCAAGACCTTCTGATACCTCACCCATGACTTGCTGGTCTGCATCACCTGAGCACACCCATGGAGCACGTACACATTTCTGGCACTTCCAGCAACTTTCTTCTAAAAGGAAAAAACATCCAGGTTAAATGTGCATTGAGAGGTCTCTTAGTAACATACAGAACATTAAACACATGGTAATTTGTTTTGGTGACTTAACACCATTTTTGAGGCCTGTCATTCCTTTTCTATGACACCATTTAGATAAGGGAATTTGGGAGGGCTTGCAGATCCCGGATGCTGGATGAACACCCTTACTTGGTGGTGTAATCTGACCTCATCAATTATTCTGTGCAAACAAATGAGCAGCTCTCCAGACATGCAAGATAATGGAAGAAACAGCCCTTGGCAAGTGTGAGATGTGGATGAGCTGGGAACTAGAACGTGGTTCTACCACAGAGCACCCCTGTGGACAAAGGCTGATAGACCCTAACCTCTCTCAAGAGCCACTCAACACTGCAGGTTGCAGCCCATAAAAAAAGAAATTAAAAGATAGAGAGCAGCAGTGCTATTACATGATGATTTTAATTCTTATGTAGATGCTGGTCATGGATTATGACTGGGTTTGATTCAACCACTCCCTACTTAAATCTAAAGGTATTGCTTGTCATTTCCACAAGTGTTTGCAGTAAAACTGACATCCCAACCAGGAGAGACAGCATGCCAAACTGCAAACTGGTGTTTTACTGCAACCTACTCTTTGATCCTGTCAGCACACTTGTACTTATTTTCTTCATATGCACTTTAACACGGGGCTTGCTATGCAAGTTGCATGGTTTTTTCTCATGAAGCAGCAGAACCAGCTGATGATCTTACTGACTTGTGAGCTAAGTGATAAAAGATGCTAAAGATCAGAACAAATACTTGATTTGTATATTGTATTTGTTCCCGTTGTAATTAGTTTAAGACCAGCTGTCTCAGAATTCAGACCAAATCACTGCTAGTAAAACCTTGGCCTTTGTTTGAAAAGGCAGGAGAGTATGAAGGACAGAACAGAAACCACAATTTAGTATGGCACTACTGGGTCCTTGGGGCCACTAGTCAGGGTCCCTAAACAAATAATCAACATCTAGTATTTTTTCTTTCTGCCCCTATTTCTTGTGGGTTTTTAAGGCACAATCAGCCTCCGTCAAGAGACAGAAGTAATAAACTTGATAAGCAGGCTCATAAAAGAAAGAGGACAGACACCACTGGCTCCATGTCACCCAGCCAGGGTGACAGCAAAGGTTATTTCCAGCAATGCAGGAACTGGGCAGCTGCAGAAACAAGCTGCCCTACCTCACCATAGTGAGGCATGCAGAGGCAGGTGTCCTCTCCGCCTGTTGAAGGACTAGATAGGCACAGACTGCCAAGATTCAGATTTTCCCAGGGAAATAGCAGGAATATATCTCCTCCCCTTTGCCTCTCCCTCCTTCCCCCCCCATCCCCTTTACCCATTTCAGCTCCCTTGCCATTCTTATCACTTGATTTCTTAATTCTCTAATCTTAGAGAAGCAAATGGAATCTAATAAAAATGTTCATTAAATCAGTGGTTCAGAATATTCCACCCTGCTGACAGAAGAACAACTTATCACTTTATGTAGACAACAAAGCAACACAAAAGGACTAAGAAAACCAAAACAAAACCTCAGATGACCATGTGGCCTACACACATTTTTTTGAGTTCATTTGCTCCACTTTGGACACTAGCAGAGAGCTGTTTTCCAGAACACCCACTCATTTTTTTGTATGGTGGAACTAAACAATTAGCTCAACCTCCACCATATTTAACATTTGCTTCAATAAGCAGAAGAAGCCTTTCACAAATGGTTAATACTGACTAGCACTGAGCTTCCCTTCTACAACTACAGTCAATTCCTTTCTTTCTTCCTATCTCTTCCCCCTTTTTTATTTCCAAGTTCAAACAAACACCTTCAGCATACAGGCAGCTGTTTCTGGCAACTATAGCTACTAAAAGGCGTTTTGAACAGCACCAGAGAACACTGTCCAACACTTGTGACTTATGGATCAATAAGTCTGTCAAGGTACCACAGAGTATACATGTTCATGGTCTTAGAGGAAACTATCAAGTACTGAAGAGAAAAACACTCCCTCCATAAAAGCAAAACTGCCTGATTATGCAAGTTGTCCCCAAAGTGGACATTGTGTACTCTTTGGAGGGTAAGGCAGCAGGGGAGGTCCACTGACATTCCTATAAAAGCCCACTCCCACTGGCTGGGAGGGAATGTGTGTTGCTAGGACATTCTTCAGGCTTCTGAGAGTCAGCATCATCTGCAGCCTACTGCAATGAAGTGCAGAAGAATGACAAGCATCTCAGTAGAAGCCTGTGTGCGTGTGTGTGTATGCACGCCTGAATCTGGAAATGCCAGTGTGGTCAGCCCGATGGTATTGGAGATCCTGACCAGAGCTTCCAAAACATTCAGGACCCATTTTCTTTTTCTTAGGGATAGAATCATACATGGCATGGATACAGAAAGAGTAGAGAAAATAATTTCTGTACATGCACAGTCAGCTGGTTACAGTCTCACATAGGTAATGGGAGCCTAAATTCACAGACTGGAGTTTTCTGCAGAAATAGAGACCCACTTCACAGCACGAATAATTTCAATATCTTTCCCCAAAGGTATTTCATTTGGTACTTGTGTTATGGAGAGCACTAACCAACTCCCAGAGCTAGAACCACAGTGGCTGTTCAGATGCTGTGGCGACCCTGCAAGCTCTGCAGAGCCGAGCATGCCGCGGGACCTCGGAGCTGTTTGTATCGCGAACCCAACGCGGGCGGGCCCTGTCATTTCACATTAAGTGCAAGCGCTGCTTTCTGCTCCAGGAAATGCTTTCTGCAGAAAGAGGACAGGAGTGCAATGTAAATGCCACAGAGTCCCATCCTTTACACAATAAGACTTCTCCAGAGTGAGTGGAAAGAGATAACATACAAACAGAAAAACAGTGATTGCTCCCGAGCATCCCATTTACATCCCGGCAGGATCAGATCTGTGCTGTTACCCCACGAGCACCCGGTAACAGCACAAATCGTGCCACTCCGTTCTGAGCGGGCAGGGTCTCACTGGCACCACGGCTGCTCAGTGACCCGCGCAGAGCAACACCCCTACAGCAAGGGCGATTCCAGCAGCCTTTCGTCACAAGCCCAGGCTCCCTCTTGGCACAGCAGCCCCAACTACTGCTGCCAATGACAGCGTGTCATCCACAGAGGGCATCAAGTCTATCAGCCCCTGCTCACCCTGGTTTTGGCTGAGCATCGCGGGGGGTGTGAATCACCGACCTGTCGCAATTGCCCATCACAGTTAATGAGCTGGGAAGAAAAGACCTTGCAACAAATCTCTTTGCTGAACGCAGCACCTTGTTCATGGTCTGAGACAGCTCTGAAGGCTCAGACTGACGATGCAATTACAGCATATAGAAATTTGCTCTACATTTTTGCTTGGCCTAAGCACATGAATACAATTTGGCTGCAGCCTTTCCAACCCATTTTTAAGTGTTTATCCCTTTCCCATGTTTTCTCACCTCCATGCTGGTTTTGACACACAAACTTACAACATACAACTTCTGGAGTTTCACCATCATCAATTCTGGCACTGTACTTGACATTTCGTAAAACAACTCTGCAAACAGGACATGCTGCAAGAAGCAAGAAGGATTTCAAGCTGAGCAATGAACAAGCTCATCATGAACTATATTCTCCCTGTGAATGACTTATGGCTGGAAGAGGGTATATTCCTATAACCCATGGCTGCTATTTCTCTTAAATTCAAGTAACTAACAAACTTGTCTTTTGGTTTTTTTTAATCAGTGCTTCTTAAGGCATAACTAGCATCCCAAAATAATTAAAGCAAATGACACACAAGGCTTAAGGAGCATACATGCAACTCATTTTTATACAACATACTCCTGCATTGTAGGGGCTTTTCATAATCTTTTCAGTGTACACAGTAGCTAAGAAATCACCCCAAATTCTTGTTGCAAAGCTGCTGAGTTATGAATGACAAATGCCATAGCTCCCATTTCCCATGACTGTACCACAGAGCACCAAGAACTTGGATCACTGCACAGGAAGAGGAAGGGCTATCTTCAAGTCTTCTCCCCAGTCCACGTTGGGAATCCATACAGACCTCCGTGCTGGGATGTGATTTCACAGCCCACATGATAGGACAAGTCTGTGTGGAGGTACATGACGCAGAATGTCCTTGGCAAATTCTCTCACCATGACATCAATGAGGGCAGCAACTGCAACTCCACAACAGGGTTTGATGACAATCAAGTCTAAATACTCATGTGCTGCAGCAACAGCAACCACAAGGTTTGACTTCTCCCACCCAGGGTACTCAGACATGACTGGAATATCTGGCACACACGGCAGCAAGAGAAGTGTGATAAGTGTGGTACTCTGTGATAAGTGACATGTCATAGCTCAATAAGCTCATGGCTCAATCAGGAGTGGTGTTCACCTGATATCGAATCAATCTGTGGCTTACAGAAACACCCAGCTATCCCATCCCTAGCTGTGACACATACCCCAAATCAGGCACATCACCTCGGGTGCAGCATTACAAACAGCAGAACTGTCATCTGCCCACCTGTAAACGTCAAGCACTGGTTCATTTCCCCATTCACACGTGCCCCTCCAATGTGCATTACAATATTCAAACATTCCCAGTCATGGGGACAACTCCCTCTCTTGGTCACTGAAGCTGCTGTTCAGACCATGAGAGGAAGCACACTTGGGTGGCTCTGCATTGCTAAGGGCAGGCCAGCAGCCCAGGCCGTGTTCTCCACACCCCACTCTCAAGGGTGACTGTGGCAGTGCTCCACTGCTCTGGCTGCCATTGTGGCTCGGCAGCAGCTCGTGCATTTCCGACATCTCCCTTGCTGATGTACAAGGAGCGGTCACAGATCTGCATAATGCATTCCAGCAAGTTCAACGGGACACAACAGTGTAACAGAACACCATGGAGGGTGTAAGACAGGGACACAAAGAGCCACATACCTCTCAGAAGAACAATTCCAATTCTTTTGGTAGCTACAAAAAAAAAATTTAAATAGTGTAT